GTTAATTAGAGGGCTGTGTTAGGAGACACTTCTATAGTTTTTAGGAATCCCCGAAAATACAGACATTCCTTTATGAATATGTTTAAATCAGATTTTATTTATTATTAAACGAAATCCAACGTTTTGCCTAGGTCTTAAGGTTTTCTCAAGGATAGGTTTAGGGGTTAATACAGTATATAAGACAAACAGTTGCTTGTATCGAAAAAAAGCACATGTTATAACTAATTGGCATTAATAAAACACGTATGATATAAATAAAATAATAAATAAGAATAAATAGTTAAAATCAGGAAATAATAACAATTAAAAACCACATGGTGGACATAGCAACGTTCACAGTTAAAAATTTTCATTGAATTATGAAATTCCGCCCCTTTAGGGATTTCAGATGAAAATATGCCATTGCTCAATGTACATTTCGCTCTCAAAAAACATCTTCAGGAGTATGAGTATGATTAAGTATTAGTTGACTTACTTTGTGCTCTTACCTTTATATAATAATATACCGTTTTATAAGTTCACAATAAACTAAAGCTAACTAAACTATGGAACTATTATCAAACGAAGAGACGGTTGGGTCTGTATGCGATTGTAAGTTATCTTAGGATATCAATGACATACGTTGTTCTGGGGATGTGTTGAAGCTTAATAATTACATTTTTCGGAATTGATTTCTTGTTTCCTTTTTAGGCTGTATGTATACTTGTAATTGAGCATTGTGTATAAATCGATCTAATTAATATTTTTTAAAAATCTCAATAGAACAAGAATTGCATTGTTTTCATTCACAGCCTTTCAAACTTTTCCCATTGTTCAGTTGTGTATTCTTCATTGATACAATTTTCTACTTTAATCTTGTTATCCAGATTGTCGTAGCCTGTTTGGCAACCCTTGCTANGCACCGTCTCATCACGGATTGATCCACCACAGTGCTCACTTGGTAGCACCTTTGTCTCACAGTTGGACTCATGAAGCCAATGCCCACAGCACATTGCTTCTTGCTCCAACTGTTTCCCACTCTTCCTACATCACTTCACATGCCGATGACGATTGCGATCATTAGGGGTTAAAAGAATATACTTGCTTGTTCGAAAAACTGCTGTTATAATGCAGAATACCTGCTCGAAACTACGTTTCAGTTATAACGGTTGTATTTAACAATCTAATGAATGCACGCCGGATACAGTATTTATTTTAATTTGTTTTTCTTTTATTTTTGATAAATAAAGCATTAGAAAATTATTTACTCCTTTTTAAATAAACTGTTATGTACGATGGTTATTGCATGCAGTATGCAAGAAATGGCGCTCATTTCTGCTATCCTGTTCTAAATGTGGAGTCTTACAGAGTAGGTAGAGTTCATTATCCGATAATATTTTTAAAGTAAGAATGGTTTAAATACTACCCAAATAGCCACTGCATTAAAAGGTTTGTGTTTGTGGACATATGATATTACTCAAAAGGCACGCAAGAACTATTTATTAATCTTGTTCCTGGAATAATTCGCATTACTGGATTATACAAGTTCTATCCTACATTCAGCATATTAGCGTAAATGCGATTACAATAAAAATGTTCAAATAAATTGCGAAAAATGTTTAGATAGATAATTTTATGTCGATTGTTACGTTATCATAAGATACTTTAAAGCTTTGCTTGTGCTTTTACAACTGAAACCATAGCTTTGTAAACGAGAATTTATTTAACGCTTTCATATTGTGATTGAGGGTTTTCCATTGTGCCATAGTATCCAATTCATGGCACATTTACTGTAGTCGTTTAATGACTAGCGAAAATTGTGGTTTTGATAGGAACCGGTTTTATAATAATGTTGGACACGATTCTGCATTTAGCGATTCTCTTATGCTAGCACAAATGAATCACTTATAGTTTTTAAAATTGTTATATTGATGTACCGTGTGTTCACACGAGACACCCCTGAATGATCTTGATTAACTCGTTCTGATGTAACCTGTAAAACATACTCGACGACCGGGTTGTTGCGTGTGCTAGTCTGTCGTCCATCTTCTTTTCTGTAGGGGTAGCTTGAGGTTGTGTATCTGCCACGATATACGCTGGTTAGAGTTTTTGGATACAGACCGCCTCGCTTTGGTTGGGAAGTTGAATAATGAATTAATGCTCGCCTCGTTTAAGCATTTTGCATGGACCATCGATCCATGGTGTTCTTGCTGGACTCTTGAATCATGGTGCTACACTTGTTGGAACATCTCATGCTACCTTAGTTACTGGACCAGTTGACCGTGGTGCTACCCTTATTTGACCAACTCAACATGTTGGACTTACTAACTATGGAGTAACTCTTGTTGGGCAATCTCAACATGCTTCAGTTGTTGGCCCTACTAATTATGGAGCACACCTTGTTGGGTCATCTCAATATGCATCTATAATCGGACTTGCTCGTTACGTAGCAACACTAATTGTACCCTCTTATTACGCATTGATCCACAACAATGTTCACTTGGTGGTGCATTTGTCTCACAGTTGGACTCGTGGGATCAATATCCACAGTACAGTCCTTGCACTAACACTTTTTCGCTCCTCCGCGATCATAGCTCATACAAATGATCTTTGCGATTATTAGTGGATAGTACAATTACCTCTCCAGTTTGTAAAACTGCAGTTAAAATGCAGTATTAATGGGTACATTTTAGCACAATATTTTTTTTAACATGTATTTTATTTTAATAAATGAAGTACCAATACTTGTTGCAAAATGCATTATCCTATTATGCAGCTAGTCAAATTAACTGAGATAAAGAGCTGTAAAGTCTTCAATGAAATAATTATTCATTTTCGATTTGAAAAGCAAGTACAATATAAATAAAATAATAAATAGTTAAAATCAGATAAATAAAATGAGTAAATATACAATTTACAATTCAAACACACGTGGTGGAC